CACCCCCACCCACCCACCCCCACACATAAGTACTCTCACACTAGACCTCGTTACCTTTATCCAATAACGTCTTGACGACAGTCCGGAACCCGTTGCGAGCGCTGACCATCAATGGCGTCTCCCCGAGACTGTTCTGCTTGTTGACGTCACTCCCACCGGCCAGCAAACGATCGACGACAGAAGTTTTCCCGCCCGCAGCGCTCAGCAGAAGTGGAGTGTTTCCATTTATGTCCGGCATATTCACGTCTGCTCCGGACCTGAATGACAACACAGAATCCAAAGTCGTCAAGCAAAATTCACAGAGTATTTCTTGCTTTTTGGGTTTTTTTTTCTTTCTTTCTTTCTTTTTTTCTTTTTTAAATTTATTTATCTATTGAATTTTTTTTTCGCTCAATACCAGTTATTTACCGATGTGTAAAAAACCCAGAAAAATATAATAAGAAAAACCAGCTCCGTTGACAGAGAAAAACAAAACACAAGACAAAAATACCCTACTCAAAATGTGTTCACAGTCTAATTGAAACAATGTAGCCTAGATAAATTTTTGAATGGGGATGAGCGCGCTCATACGACCTTATGTAGTTGTAAACGCAGTAAAACTTACTAAACTAAACAGAAGGAGGCTGCGTTCATATTGCCTTCCCGAGGCAACCCAGGATATTTGGAATGTATCATGAAGACAAGGGGAAGATATTCAACAAGATATCTCATCACATGGGAATTGAACTCGAGCCTATTACATATTAATTATACAAAGTAGAAACACTGGCTAAATTTTTACAGATATTAAAACTAAATAAACTATACCCATTAAACAACAAAGAGAAATAAATGTTCTTCTCAATTTTAAAAAAACATTTAATGAGGTCGTTTTTACAATACAATAAGAAATCATGATTTGTGTCATTTTTGTCAATCTGGTAAAAACAAAAATTGAACATCGACTCATGCATCTTCATGGTCCTTTTTATAAAGCCTAAGTAAGCCTATAAACAGATTATTCTATTGCTGAATGATGAAATAATAAAGTAAGATTATATTTGTGTTGAAATCCACCATCAGCATTGTGACGTTTGCATAACAGCAAACGAAATATTTGAGAGTGTCAGAAGCTGAATAAAAGAAATATTGTCACGATTCTAGCTATTCTTGAGCACTTGCATTTGTCTAAAGAGTTAATCAAATAATTAAAAAAACCCTGTATAAATGAATCAATGTGTTTATTGTTCATTTTATTGCGTACACACGGTACAACAAGCTATTGATATTGGTTTTTTTTGGTTGATATTTATCAGAAATTTACAGAATGTTTTGTTTTAAGGCGTGAAATTTGTCAGTTTGCCCCAGAAAAAGATAAGAGGGTATGACGATATAATATTGAACGAACAATAAAAACTTATGATATATACAAATTATGTGTACTTTTATATAT